ATACCACTAGCTGCAGATTAACTACTCACCAGGAAAGTTACTTACCTATGTCATGCATCATCTGACCTCTTGAGAAAACACTCCTCATTCAGACTTCTGATTGGCTGGTGAGGGTTTTCCCAGCTTGTGTCTCATTTTTATAGCCAATTGTGCACTGCTCATCAAAACACTCACTCGTCAACTGTGGTAATCAAGCACTAATTGCTGTTAAAATAATTTTTTTCTGATCAATTCAATAATTGAGGTAGAGATATTCAAATTTCCCAGCCTTTATATTCATTTTCATTGTGTGGTGTGGCATCTAATCACTCACCTATTGTGGACATCAACAAACTACAGTTGAATCATCACCGATTCAAATTATATTACCTACATGCACATGTAAAATCAAATAAATGAACACATACAAATACAATATGTTTATATATTTTTATTGAAATGAAGAAAAGTTGCTATAGAGAGGTCCAACCTTCCACCCAAAAATCTTGGTCGTATGTTGCATCTGTCAGAAAGTCATTCGTGGGAGGTCAGATCAATGTAAAATCATTCCGTGCACAGAAAAAAGTTGTATCCAAAAGAAATTCGTTATTGGGAGGGGGTCGTATCCACCAGGGACTCTATAAATATTTTTTGTTTTAACAAAGTAACATTTTTTTGCCATTTTTCAAAATTTTTGTTCTTGAGTTTTTTCTGTTATATAACAGTGGAACACATTAAATAATTTTATTCTGGTTTATGCACTAGGTGATAAACCATACAAGAAATCTGTTTATATCATTTAAAGTACAAAACAGTTGTTACATTTAGGACACAGTTTTTAACATATCACAGTGAAAACTCATGATATATGCCCATAGTTATGAACATTTTTCTTAATAGGCGGAATACCCATACAGAGGGAAACATCTCACAGTTATCCTACCGAATGGAGCTGGAAGAGCAAGTAAATGGTTCAAGTTGTTTATCTTTAGCTACATGGATTGAAATAGAGGGTGTCCCAGAAGTCTGGACCCACAGAAATAATAGACATTATATTCATAAAATTAAGCACATTTCTAATATCAGTTGTACTTATTTCAGGAAAGTAAATACCATGATGTCACAGTATACCAAGAATTGATACGTGTATAGCTGTTAATGGCATGAAATTTGAATAATAAATAAATTAAGAATACATTGTGTATTTTTCCATATGGATCCAGACTTCTGTGACACCCTGTAGATCAGAAATTATTGGTAATGTGATACAGGACTAATATCACTACCAGAAAATAACTGTAACTGTTTCAAAGTTGTAAGGAAGACATAATTAGAGAATAGAGGGTGAATACGTAAAAACAAAACAAAATAAACTGTGAGCAGAAACCCAATCATCATTTGTTTACAAAAGTAGGGCTAGCCATTGTTGCAGAAAGAAATAAAATATACTTTTGACCTATGGTCTTTGAACCATACTTTAGAGTGCTTTTAATTAGATATTTATGAAAATCAGAGTAATAAAAAGGGAAATGCAACTAGTATGAAACTTAAAAAAATATCTGTTTACATTACGAATAAATTAGGAGCAGAAGTAGAAACGTGAAGTAATAATAAAGATAATGAAACTTCATATTAGAAATTAATATATAAAAATCTATATTGGACATTTACATATGAGTGAAATTAAAACACATTGATAAGTTAGAAATTAAACAAAGTAAATTTTACAAAATACATCTGCCTAATCAACATACTTGTTTCAGATCCAACAAAGAGAACTGAGAAAATTGAAAGAAAAACAAGAGGAGGAAAAGTAGGTACTATTTCGATTATTGTAAGGGACTAATATATTTTCAATAACTGAACTGTTATTGTTAAACCCTATTTAGGTTATTGTAAGGGACTAATATATTTTCAATAACTGAACTGTTATTGTCAAATCCTATTTAGGTTATTGTAAGGGACTAATATATTTTCAATAACTGAACTGTTATTGTTAAACCCTATTTTGGTTATTGTAAGGGACTAATATATTTTCAATAACTGAACTGTTATTGTTAAACCCTATTTTGGTT